ATCCGCAAGCATTTGGAGGGTCCCAGAGCACGTGTCTCGTCCATTGTGTGTCTCAAAACTGTTCACAGAGCGTTTCCCCTCCCCCACCCCATCCCTTCCACCAGGATCCTTAAAACCAGGTTAGGTCGCTGCGCATAAATAGGGCCCATGAAACCAGACTGTGAAATAAGACGAAAAGATTAAAAAGCAACTTGCTACATGGGAGAGAGAAAAGGGTCACTGCGTGTTCAGGGCTGGGGTAAGAGATGGGGGCACAGAGCTCCTTGGCACCCAGCGAGACGTCTAAAAAAGCCTCCCCAGAAGCCACGGGAAGCAGCTCCTCTAAACTTGGAAGTGAACCTTTTTCGAATGAAAACACGTCCGGATAAGGTAAAGCAAATGCAGACGCCGGCTGTGGTGTTATGGTGACCTCTGGTGGTTCCAAACTAGAGTGACGCTCTGAACAATTAATTCCTGGCATGATGAGCTGCAAGTGTTTGGAGCTTAACTAAGTTCACGTGCACTGTTCTCAGTGTTATTCCTTCAGCTCGGTCTTAGAGGACATTCCGTCCCATCTACTTCTGTAATGGCGGAGTTTTTGCAAAAAGTTTGCGTTGCTCTGGTGAGCAGAAAAGAAGACAAAAAAGACAGAACAAAATATAAAATATGAGAAAAAACGATCGTCTTGCTTGGGTAATTATTCATTTCTCTGCAAGAGAGAATATAGGATTTAGATGGAAGTACGAGTTTAAGCCCTTAAGTTTTTGGAGTAAAAATCATTCCAGGATTTCGAACGGTTTACCTTTGATTATAGTGATACCTACGTATACGTCATCTAAATATTGTGAGCGATGACTGGTTCCTATACTTCTCTAACCCGGTTAAAAGTTCTTGCCATAGGACAGATTTTCTGGTAAGAAATGGAACAGAGTCACTGAAGAACCGTGAGACCTCGTGAGGGCGGACACGTGCTATGCCGGGCCCAGGCTTAACTAACACCACACCAAAGCAGAAATATCATTCTGTTTAAGTACAAAAGATGACCCACGAGGGCAAAGAGCACATTACAGTTCACCGATGGGACAGACTCCGCGGCCAGCCAACTCCTGAAATATCCAGACGCCCTTAAAACTTCGAATTATCCCAAGTCAACGAAGTGTAACTAGTCCCACATCTAAGCTCAGGCACAGGGACCTTCCGGCCGAAGCAGCTCAAAGGCCAGCGGTGGTGACGAGGGTCACTGGCTCCTGCAGGAGCGCCCCTGGCCGGGGGTGCGGCAGCTGCTCTGAGTCACAGGACAGTCCGGTTTGCCTGCCGGGGTCCTGTACTCAGCTGTCACAGGCTCCCCGGTTTTTCTCACGAAATCCGCCTCAGTCAGGTTGGGATTCTGGAAGGACATGCACAGGAGTTAAGTTCCTGTGGCTTTAAAACCTAGGTGTTCAGCATCATGTTTTTCTGGGACTGACGGGGGAGGGGGCTGTCTTGTTTCGATGCCTTCATGGACCCACCTGCAAAAGCATCGCCTCTGCTGAGCTGCCGTCTGCCACCTGCTGGCGGGAGCCTGCGCCCAGGTGCAGTGACCCGGGCTTCTGGGGCCATGTGAGGCCCTCACCACTGGCCGCCGTCCACTGCTCGACGGAGACGGGCCTCTTCCTGAACACGCCTGAAGAACTGTAATCTCACACCAGCGCCCCTGGGGGAAATGGCCGAGCCCAGATCTGGGCAAAAAGCGTCTAAAACACTCGTGGAATGAACTTGTCTTCGCAGAAAGCAGGGAAGTGGCAGAGGACCACCAGAGTTACATCGAAAGGATGCGCCGACTATGTTTAAATGCAGAAGTTAATAGCAATACTTTTTATTTTTTAAAAAACACCTTATTGATCACTTCTGAAGGATGCAAAGGAACCAACTCATTATTTGAAAAACTGGTACATGGAATTAGCTAAGCGCTTATCCTGCTTTCTTATATGAATTGCGAACTAAGATAATCGATAGTTCGCATCGAAAAGTTTCTTTTATAGAAGTAGTCCAGCTAATAAATGAAGAAGAAATGATAAACAAAATAATAATAATCATTTTGTTATTCCATATAAAACTGGATCTAGCTGGCGATCATAAATGGCTGCTGACATTTAAAAAAAGCAGGGAAGAGACAAACACTACACACATCCTGACGGAAAATATGCAATACTGCTGTGAAATGTGCTTGCAAAACGGAAAAAAAAAATCTAACATAAAAGCGCTCCAGCCCCCAGATGCAACCAATTTACGGGAATTATAGGAGACAGAGAACAAGCTAAATGACACCTCGGGATGCAATCAGCAAATCCCCAAAATGGAAAGCTCTTGAGAACCACTTTCTTAAACAAAAAGCAGAGTGAGTGGCCGGGGAGGTGTACCTGGGCAGAAGTGAAGAGCCGTATAAACCAAATGCCAGGTCTCCTCGTTCAAACAAATCCGAGTTAAAAATTAACAGAAATTATGTTGAGAAAACTTGAAGATGACAATATATTTAATATTAAGAAATAACTTTAAGCATTGCAATAGAGTTGTGATTGTATTCTAAAAGGATCTTTGTCTTTTAGAGACAGTCATGGAAACATTTATGGGCAAAATAATATGGAATCATGGATTTACTTGACAAGGATTCGGGGCACAGAGGAAGTGAACGAACAAGGTTCTAGAGCAGGGGTTGGCAAACCATGGCCCAGAGGCCGGCAAACCATGGCCAGAGGCCACATCTGGCCCACCGCCTGGTTTTGTAAATAAAGTTTTATTGGAACACAGTTACGTTCATTTGCTTACGTGTGATCTATGGTTTCTTTCTCTACAATGGCCAAATTGTGTGGTCGCAGCAGAGACTGTACGGCCCACGAGGCCCGAAGTGCTTGGCGTCCGGCCCTGGGCAGAGAGCTTGCTGACCCTGGCAAAGCCCACAGACTGGCTGGAAGCCGGGGGATGGGGTCCCTGGGGGTTAACTCTGGTATTGTTTCCTTTTGTATCTGTTTGAAATGTACCATCATAAAGGTTTACAAGTTTAAAACAAACAAATGAAACAGTGCTGATAGCTTTAGTTTGTTTTACAAGCACCTGTGTTGCCTAATTAGCTTCCCGGATTCTTCAAACTGCCTGTTCAGGATTGATCTATTCATATAACTTAACTTTTTTAAATGCCCCCTCTTTCTTCACATTTATAGTCCTAAAGAAATTTAGAACAAATGTGATTTACACTTGAAAGCTCAGGAGCTCAGATGGCTGGACGGGTATTTACAAAACATTCAGGGGTTCACCTTCCAGGGACATAGGCGGGGAGGGCCAGGGGAGCCTGTCCCCCACCCCCACCTCTGCCCGCCTGCCCCTCCCCATCGCCGTGGCCTCCGGGTTGGTGGGCTGTGGAGCTGATTCACTGCTGCCGTAAGCACAGGGCTGAGCACGCGGTGTGCAAAGTCACTGGAACCGGAGGAAGCTGGTCACGGAGGAAACTGTGACTATCAGCTGACGCTTCCTGATTAACTCCCGGGAGCTGCCGGCAGTTTCCAGACCAGAGCAAGTGGTCAGAGGCTGGGGACACAGCGCGTCAGTCTGAGCCCCGCGGCCCGTGCCCCGTGATGGAGAGTGACGAGCTGTCTTTCAACGTGGACCACGGGTACTTGGAAGGCCTGGTGCGGGGCTGCAAGGCCGGCCTCCTGAGCCAGCAGGACTACGCCAACCTGGTCCAGTGCGAGACCCTGGAAGGTAAGGCCGCCCTGCTGCCCGATAAACAGGAAACACGGGGAGCATGGTTGGGGGGCTGCGGTTCCCCGTCCCCCGCCCCCGCCCCCACCTGAGGGCCAGGGGCTGCTTCCTACTCCCCGGGCCCAGACGCCAGGGGCCCACGAACTGGGGTGCGAAACACAGTTACACCTCCACGTTCAGTGTTCTCTGCGTGAAACCGAGCACCTCCTGTCATTACGAATGCAGGCACGAGGTCACCGTCACCGTGGCTGGCACTTGGTCACCAACAGAAAGTCAGTATTTTCACATTGCTGTACAGCTCTTGTAGACGCTTAGAAATTTCACTGATGTTTCCCTGTCTCGTCAGCCTGGATATCGCACTCACCCTTTAATCCTGATAGTGATGTCTTGATAAAGGACAGCATTACATATTTAAAATATACATACTTATAAATATTAATTGGAGAAAGATGTCACCAGATCACCTAGGGATCTATGGCCAAAAAAAAAAAAAAATGCTAAGAACCTCGGACCAGAGAATTTTATTCTATCCCCAGTTTATCTATAGGTGTGAGAGTTTATTTGAGGTTTGTCTTTAACCAAAGCCTAACTTAAAAAATACCCACTGAGGGAGGGGCATGGGGCGAGGCCAGCCCTGGGTGCAAAGCTCCCGACTTTGACCTCTGCCAGGTCTAGGTAGGTGACCTGAGCCTCAGAGTCCTCCCTTGTGAAATGCAGTGATAACACCTGCTTTGCTGAGTTTTTGAAGAAACAGATCAGGAAGCGCTTGAGGGAATGCATTAGAACTGCAAAGCGCTCTGCAAATGAACATTATCTTTTTTTTTTAAACCACTAATCGCTGAGGTATGAGCGACATACAAAAAGCTGTACATATTTTATACAACTTGGTGAGTTTAGAGCGGAGCATACACCGTGAAACCACCACGGTCTATGCCATAAACCTGTCCGTGACCTCCGTCTGGGGTTTTCTGCTCCAGCACCTGGAAGGTGACCTGGCACCTGGTCCCTCTTCACTCCCCACGGAAAGCAGAAGCCACCTGCCTGACAGAAACCCTGGCATCCCCTGCCCCCCAAAACAAACTAAAAATAACCTTTTATTCACTGATAGTGTCCTGCCCTGGTTCCACCCATTTTCCTGCAAAACCCTTCCATTTGGCTCAAGCCCTTGGGGCACCCCTCTGCCCGCTGGACGGCAGGCCGCCCGGTGGGGTCCCCACCCTTGACCCCCCCCATGAGGTATCCACTCCTGACCCCATCCCTGTGAGGTCCCCACTCCTGACCCCCCCCGTGAGGTCGCCATCCCTGAACCCCTTGAGGTCCCCACTCCTGACCCCTCCGTGAGGTCCCCACTCCTGACCCCTCCGTGAGGTCCCCACTCCTGACCCCTCCGTGAGGTCCCCACTCCTGACCCCTCCGTGAGGTCCCCACTCCTGACCCCTCCGTGAGGTCCCCACTCCTGACCCCTCCGTGAGGTCCCCACTCCTGACCCCTCCGTGAGGTCCCCACTCCTGACCCCTCCGTGAGGTCCCCACTCCTGACCCCTCCGTGAGGTCCCCACTCCTGACCCCTCCGTGAGGTCCCCACTCCTGACCCCTCCGTGAGGTCCCCACTCCTGACCCCTCCGTGAGGTCCCCACTCCTGACCCCTCCGTGAGGTCCCCACTCCTGACCCCTCCGTGAGGTCCCCACTCCTGACCCCTCCGTGAGGTCCCCACTCCTGACCCCTCCGTGAGGTCCCCACTCCTGACCCCTCCGTGAGGTCCCCACTCCTGACCCCTCCGTGAGGTCCCCACTCCTGACCCCTCCATGAAGTCCCCCCTCCTGACCCCCTCCCTGTGAGGTCCCCACTCCTGAACCCCCCTTTCCAGTTCCCCTTCCTGCTGCGTCCGGTTCGGGCAGCCTCCACTTTGTGCTCTGCTGTACCCACAGCGGACGTAACCCAGCAGAGCGTCTGTGACGTTGCACGGGTGTGTCACCCCGGGTGAGGACATCTGTCCCCTCATCTACCCGGTCCCCGAATGACCTGTTAGGGGCTTAACTCATGAGTGAGCATCGGCCCCATCTCCTCCTCTCCTGGAAGCTTCACACTGCAGGTGCGTGAGCTCGCGGAGCTGTGCGTTAGCTAGGTGGGAGGGGTCACCACGCTGTACCCTTTAAATACCTCACAATTCTGCCTCGATAAAGCTGAAGTTAGAAGAAAAGAACTCTCATGAAATAAAAAAGGGCAGAAACTTCGCCTCGCGCTTTCCCTCCCGGCCCCCGAGCCTCGGGCTCGGTTTTGCACGTTGTAAGATCTGGAGACACACGGAAGCTGTGTCTGCAGGTTGGGGGCCAAGTCCCAGCCCTTCCGCTCACGCCTGGTGCTTCCTCATCTGAAGCTCACGGACGCGTGGCTGGCCTGACGCCATTTTCAGGACGGTCGGAGGTCTCTGAAGATGCTCCCTAAACTAAAGCTTAGGAAATCCCAGGAAATGCCGAGGGCCCCAGAGGGCAGCGTGTGTACCAGGGACTGGAATTCGTGTGCCCCTTCCTGCACCCCTGAAACTCCCGAACCCCTGAAACACCTGTCCCCTTGGTTAAGGTGAACGGTGTTCGGTTGGTGGGTCTGTGCTTGACCCTCTTCTCCTTCCGAGAACAGCAGTTTGTTTTGGAAATGTCCGTCTTGGTGCTCGAGGAGGAGGAGCCGCTGCTCTGGCGAGGTGCCCTGAACTCCCCAGTGAAGGGCCCTGTGACCACGGGTTTTAATCACAGGCTGAATCTGTTAATACTTGAAGCTCATCCAGGTGATGGAAATTGTATTAGGGAATGTGGAGAACATGATAAACAGGCATTATTCGCCCTCTAAACAGCATCTAGTGGAGAGGCTATCATAAGTAAGTAAAAACAGTTAAAATGCAAAAACAGTTTAAACCTACAGATAGAAGACAGATTTGAAGGTGAACCGAATGTGGAGAGCAGGTTGGGAAAATGCCGAGGGGAGGAGAGGCCAGATGACAAGGCGTTCTAGGCCCACAGGGTAAACAGCTTAGGAAAAGTTACCGATAAGAAAAATAGAAGCGGATGGGTGGGGAGCGCCCCAGTGTGGCTGCAAAGCTGGACTACCTGGAGATAAGGCTGGAATGTAGGCGGGGAAAAATGTTGAAGGATCGCGAAGGTCCAAGTGTGGAGCTTCCAGATACTGAGTGAGGACAAATGACGTGTCTGACCTTCAAACAATGCGCACGGGAAAACAGGAACGACTTACTTCTCCGAGGCTCTGTTTCTCCGCCTGTGAAATGGGGATGGCTGTGAAGGTTAAGAGATAATGCATATCAAAACCTTTCCTCCCGTCGTAAGACATTCTACAAATACCTTGAGTCGTTTTTAATCGGCCCGAAACTTTCCTCCGTGGCTCCAAGCTGCTTATGGGATCATTACAAGGTCAAAATGATTTCTAGGAAAGATTGAACTTGGGGCAGGGAACGTATGAGGAGAAATGAGGCTTCGGACGTCCAGTAACCCAGGCGTCAGCTGCTCGCTCTGAACCAGGGGCGTGAGGGGTGGACGTCGGGGGGACATCGAGGAAAACGCAGGCCATGCGGAGCGAAAAAGCACCAAACAGGACTTGACACTTCATCACTACGAGAACGGCGGTAAATCAGCAGAAACGGAGGAAGAAGTATGGTTTTATAGATATCGATATATTCATTAAAATCGGGGTCATCGTAAGACGCGGTGGGTGGTTCCAGCACGTTGCTTGAGAAAATTCTGGTGTAGAGACTAAAATCCAAAGTCCTTAGCACGCCGAACCCAATTATTTTAGAAGCAAAGGGCGTGAGCGAGAAAAGGGCGCAGCATCACACAGGGGCTTCTGTGGGCCGGCGCTTCCCCGCGCCTTGCGCGTCCCACAGGGACCCACGGCACAGGTGCTGTACGCACCTCGTGCCCAGACGGCGGAGCTCAGAGAGGCCAGGGAACGTCGGACCCGGCGCCGGCGGAGCTGCGCGGAGCCGAAGGTGCTTCTTGGCACAAGTATCCGAGGGGTGAAAGTTCCCTTTTATAGAGAGCCCCAAACAGAAGCTGCCAGAAAGGAGCAAAAACAAACGAAAAACGCGTCATTTTCTAAAGCGGATCTGCCCAGCAAACTAATAGAGGAGGTCACCACGACGTCCCAGTCCCTCGTCCTGCCCCGCGCGCTCCCGGGGCCTCCTCGGAGCCGGGGAGGCTCCGTGCCCGAGGTCGCTCGGGTTGAGCTGCAGAAAGCCGTCCCTGGCTGAGCCGGGAAGCCGCTGGTCCCAACTCGTTCGACCACGAGTTCTCGCCCCTCACGTCCCCGTGTGGGGAAGCGGGTCGGGGGGCGACTGAACCCATTTCGAGAGCCATCGAACCGTTACTGGCAGTCAGCCGTCCTTCGGCTCTGAACGCAAGAGTCTCTTGCTCATTGCGGTTTGGGGACACGAAGGTCCCACTCCTCACACTCGTCTGCGTCACTGGCGACATTTAATCTCAGAGTCCCTCCAGCGGCTGAAAGGTTTGGCAGTTCTTTTGCTGAAAAGAAACATGTCACACGAGCAAAACGTCATGGCTGTGAAGGAAATACCATCGGTGACCCTACTGTGGGCAAATATTCCCCAGCGCTCAGAACGCAAACTGTCAAATCGTATAAAAGTCTGAACTGCCAAAATGAAAAGGCGAACAAGACATGGCACAAAAGAAAAAGGTGTGATTTTTCAGAATGAAGTTAAAAAGGCAACTGAGCAAGTGAATCTTGGGGTGGGCGGGGCAGACGGCTCCGCCCCCCGCCCCCCGCGCCTCTCTGCCCGGCCGGGGGGCGGGGCCTGTGCTGGGTCTCGACACCCGAGAACCCCGAGCGCCTCCTTCGAATCCGCCTCGCCCCAGCCCCCAGAGCCCACGGCCCACGGCCCACAGCGGCTCCCTGTCGTCCTCCAGGATGTCCCTCCGCCCCCGCCCTGGGACACCCCCGCTTGCTGCCCTGGCTCCATTTCCCACCCCGCTTCCTCTCCCCCTAATGCTTCAGGACGCGGAGCTGCCGTGAGCCCTGGCGCACGCCGCACCCGAGCGGCCCCCTCCCACACGGCCCCTCGAGGCTCATCTCAGGCTCAGTGTCCTCCGTGCTTCGGTAACTTTCCCCGGCCTCGTCCGCAGTCTCTCTGTCCTGTATGTGAAGGTCCTGATCCTTATCACTGAACCTGGCTCCTGGTCAACCTGTTTGTGGTGAGGAGTACATCTGATCCGCCTTCGGGTCTCCTGTGGTGACAGCACACAGTAGGTACTTAATAAATGTTTGAATGAAAACTCCACAAGCTCCAGGCTGCTACGTTGGCTCCAGCTGTGTGCTAGATGGCGCCAAAGACATTCTCGATATCCCAATGCTTAATAATAACACGTAAGCATTCAGTTGTCACAACAAGATACAGAGAAAAGCCATAAGCAAGCTGGTGTGGCTGCCTCTTCGGAGTTAACATACTTAAGGCTTTATAACATCGTGTGACAGGTGCAGTGCCGGAACTATTATCAATTTGAGGTTCAGATGAGCGAGATTGAATAGTTCTTCCCAACAGAATTAGGCTTTACGGAACAACTGACGGCCTGGTTTACGTGATTGGCAATGAAATAAGATTTTAAGTGGCTTTGGGGTCAGATAAACCTGACTTTGAATCCGTTTATCAGAGTGATTTTGACAACGCTGAGCATCACTGTTCTTGTCTGTCAACAGGGATGATTGTCTGTCTTGTCTCAGGATTACATGCCATAAGCGTTACATGCGATAACATATGCTGGGTACAGTGCCTGGTAGGTCAGAAGCCCTCAGCCGCCCGTTACTGTGACTTTAATGCTGAAGGATACATTGTGAAGAGCGAATCTGGAAAGGGGCAGGGGAACTGGAGGGAAGGATGGGGTCGCGGTTGACCAAAGGACACGGCTGGACAGCCATGGTCTGCTCAGGGCGCAGCAACGACAAACGAAGTCGGAATTCGGTTCGATTACCTGGCAACCAAATACACTGTCCCTTAAAGAATGCTGACGTGGTCACGTGGAAGGGACACTGGATTTTAAGAGCAGGGAGACCCATGTCCCAGCTGGAGCTCCACCACCACTCAGCCCCGGAGACTCAAGGCCCTCGCCTGTGATAGGGGGACTGAGGGCCGCCCGCCCCGCCTCCCGCTCCACAGTCCGCATTACTAATAAACGTCGCTTCCTGCCACGCTGGGGTGGATCCTTCTCAACGGGTTCCGAGCGAGCATTTCCAATCGCTGCCCTGGCTCGGGTAAAACCCGCTGCCGTCCCTGCCCTGGGGGTGGTTAACGGTCCTTCGGATGTGCTAACCTATTCCAGATTTCTTAGGTGATTGAAAGGCTTTGTGTTGGGCTGGGACGTCTGTACTAACATTGAATTCTTTATTGCTTGAGAGATGGCGCTCAAGTCTCAACCACATGCAGTCCTCACGTTAGGGTTTAGCAGGGGAATGCTGGTTAGACGTGAAAGGCGGCATAAATCCTGCGATGCCGCAGAGGTTATTCGTGCATGTTCCAGGTTTCACCCGACCGGCGGTTCCGTTTCATTTCAGATCTGAAGATTCATCTCCAGACCACTGATTACGGCAACTTCTTGGCTAATGAAACGAATCCTCTCACTGTTTCCAAGATCGACACGGAGATGAGGAAGAAGCTGTGCAGGGAATTCGAGTATTTCCGGAATCACTCCCTGGAGCCCCTGAGCACCTTCCTCACCTACACCACGTGAGTGGCGCCCGGCAGCGCATGAGTCCCATGCGGTCGCCCACGGCACTGCAGTCCGAGGCGGGGTGTCGCCCCCCACTCATCTGCTGCCGCCGTTGCCCCGTTTTCACATTTAGAACTTTGGTTTGTCGGGAACGCGTTTTGGTGTCAGGAAGGAGATGTTTTCCCCAGTGGCCGCGCAGGGATTTCTGTGCCGTGTCTGTAATAAGCAGGTGAAGAAGCAGCAGCGAGGTGACCAGGCCCAGGGCGCGGGGCAGGACGTGGTCGCAGGTGTGCCCGGGGCGTGTGCGCAGCGCCGGGCTCCCTGTTCGTGCCCTCAGGCCCCCTGCCAGGCTGCGGGTCAGGACTTTACTGATAGACAAGACACAGGTGCCAACGTCTGCTAAGAATCCACGGTTATAACAGCGAGTCAGGGACAAATACGAGATATGAACTTGGGTCTGACTCAGTCCAAAGCCCAAGCGCTTCCTTTGAGAGGGTTCTGGAAAGCCTCCCAGAAGGGCTGACGTCACTGCCATGCCTGGAGCGGGCAGAGTCGGTGGCCAGAGACGGCTGGGCCTCTGGGCTGAAGCCTGTGGGTGGGAAGCGGGCCATGTGTCGGATGAGTAACGGTCAGTTCCAGCTGGAGTCGGGGTGCCGAACGGGAAGCGGGGACAAGGGGAAGGGAAGTTAGAGAGGTAAGTTCCAGGCAGAGTGGGGAAAGTCCCCAGTGGCAGACTAGGGAAGTCGGGCTTTATCCCATCAGAGTATTTTCGTGTGTGTGTGTGTGTAGATATCGTCAAGACCCTTCCTTAAAAATAAAAATCTTAAGCAGAAACCCAAGACGTACGAAGCAGAAGGGAGGCCAGGTCCGCTCAGAGGTCGCGGGGAGAGCGCTTGGGCTCAGGACCTGTCAGACGCGAGTTCCCATCTCGCCTCCGGGCCGCCTGGGGCGCCTCCGGCAGAGAGGTCCGGCGGGGGCGATAGTGGACACAGTCAGGGTCCCTGAGCTGCGGGGCAAGGTGGCCCTAGCTGCATGGGAGCAGAAACGGCGCTCGAATGGCACGCGGCATTGGCGGCACGTCACCGGGCGCGGGGGCGCTGCCGCGTGCTCCCCGCGCATTCGCATGCGGCCCCCACTGACCAGCCTCCCTCGGTTCTTGTCCCCACCTGGAGGAGGAGGAAAGGGAAAGTTAAGTGCGGGGACTTGCCCGGGTCACGGTCTGGCAAGCGGAGGCACCGTGATTGGAAACAAACGTGAGCCGCAGGCTGTGTGAAATCAGCCTCTCAGACCGCAGGTGAATTCAGGACACCTGAGCCCTGGTGCCGGGGTGATGACAGACAGCAGCCCCCTCCTCACTGAGTCAGGAAGCTGCCGGTTCGCATTGTGGGGGCGAGAGGCCTGTCTCCTGGCGGGAGTGCGCCCCGAACGTCTGGGGAAGCGCTCGGGCTCCGTTGACTCTGAGGCTCTGGGTGGGTGGCCCCTCGTAAGTGGTGACTCCCCGACGTATTGCTGCCTAATTATGGAATCTCAAACCCAGGAGGAGCTGCCTTAGTGGTAACGGAGCGAGATCCTTAGTTCTCGACAGCTACCACATGATCAAGGTAAAGTGCACCCCATTTCTAAAAAAAAAAAAATTAACATTCCAAATACTTCTAGTCACTCGCGATGTCTGTTTGGAACCCGTATGAGGACACAGGGGGTCACAACGCCGTGGGTACGATGTCAGCACAAAGCTGGGAGTGGAAACGTGGTTTTGGTGGTGCTGGTGTTAGGCCAGTGATGGTGGTGGTGGGGCGTTTGCCTTTATCCTTGATCTCCCTCCCTCCCTCTCTCTCTCTCTCTCTCCCTCTCTCTCTCTCCTGTAAACTCTGCATTATTTCTTTTCATATTCCTACCTAGAATCAATAGTACGTAAGGGGTGCCGAATATTTGTTGAATCAATCATAATCCTGTATTTAGCAGCACCTTACAGAGAGCTAGAAAAATACTTCCGACCGATTCAGAATTTTATATTACATAGAGCACTTGAATATTGGTTATTTATTGGCCAGTATGGTAGGAGTAAAAACCAGAAACGAATCCAGCAGAGAGCAGAACCAACGTCACTGCCGTTGGGTGGCCGGGCCACAGGACATCGGCAAAACTGGTGTCAGGGGTTGGGGGTGATAATGGGTGAGCCAGAGTTTAGGACCGAAAGCAAAAACCTTTCCTGGGCTTTTCGGTTACTTTCTGGTTAGGCATCGATCAACCACCAGGGGGCACGACTGAGCCCCGTAACCCCGTCTCTGAGCCCTGCTCCTTCCCCATCCGTTGCTGAGGCAGAGGTCTGAGGCTGGTCCTGTAGTCGGGGGCAGAACCCGCCCTGCTGTGGATCCAGATGCCCCCGCCCTCATTTTATCTTACGGTATCTAGTGTATTTTTTATTATTTAATTGGAAAGAAGCACGTGTGTTTAAAATAAAAGTCATTGGAATTTATTTAGGGCTCACTGCAGCCAGCACTGTTACAATCGCTTTACCCGTGTGAAATCCATTTACTACTCCCCCACCAGGGGCACCAATACTACTGGCATTTCGGAAATAAGGAAACAGACAAAGACGACGTCCTTCAGAACCTGAGGGCTACCATTAAACCTCTCGACCTTCGGAAACCTCAAACGAGGACACGGGGCAATGCCAGGGTTACAGATGCGGGACAGGAGGGCGACAGGCTTGACGCTGTTGGGGCTGCACGCTGACGGTGGCCGTGCTGGTCTTCCCACATGACCGGGCCACTCGGCTCCCCGACTTGCCCAGCTGCACGGACGACCCCTCATCTTCCCAGAGCGAGAGGTGAACTTGGAAAGGATTCTACGCACTAAAACGACAGGTGGAAATACACAGACGTGGAAATCTCGGGCCAGAGGGGCCTGGAAAGTTCTCTGTGGTCTCACAGGAGGAAAGGAATACAGAATATTTTAAATAAATAAGTATTGAATATTTACGAGTAAAATTAATAGATGTAACATTTTCACTTATTTTTAAATGCCTCGAATTCTGAATCCTTGATGACGGGCTTCGTCGCAGGTTTACATAGCGTCTGAAGGAGAACGAGGCTCGCTCGGTCTGTCTCTCAGCCTCGCAGGCGCGTTCTGATAAAGCCAGCCGTGCGCGCCAAACCGTGCACCCCAAACCGTGCACCCCAAACCGTGCACCCCAAACCGTGCACCCCGCCCGCCGTGGGACAGCCGCTGTGTAGGGGTTTCACGAAGCCATGCCTAGCTGTGGTTACATCGAATATGGGTTTTCCAACCCTGACACCGCGGACTGGCGGATAGTTCCCTCGCTCACCCCAGTAAAGGGACTGGGCCACCTCCTCAGGGGAGGCGCTGGCCGGGCACGTTTGTCCCCGGGGGGCTGCGTCCCGCTCCCCGGAGGGGACAGGGTGGGAGGGCGTCCCGGCCACCAAGCCTTCTCCTCACGCAGGTGCGGCTACATGATCGACAACGTGATCCTGCTGATGAACGGGGCGCTGCAGAAGAAGGCCGTGAAGGACATGCTGGGGAAGTGCCACCCGCTCGGCCGGTTCACGGAGATGGAGGCCGTCAACATCGCCGAGACCGCGTCGGACCTGTTCCAGGCGGTGCTGGTGGAGACGCCGCTCGGTACGTCGCCCGCCCCGGGCGCTGTCGTGGCCGATCACGACTTTCCCCGGCCGGCAGCGTCAGGCTGTCCGGGACAGGAAGGAGCCACCCAGCCCAGCCCACTCATTCCTCAGACCGGACAGACGCACCGCCTGCCGGGGCCACGGAGAACCGTCTGCGGCTGAGAAGGAGCTGAGGCTCCGCCGCCCCCTCCCCCCCCACCCCTGGCCTCCGCACCAGACCACGGCAAATAAGTGACCCAACTTGCCGTCCTTCAAAATATTATTTTTAGAGCTGGGTTTTACGTGACTCCTTCCTTAGCCTGTCATTTTAAACTTCCGTCTCATTAAGGCTTCATATCGGGAGCGTTTTGTTCCGGGAAGTTCAGGAACCCCATTTTCTCGAGGTGCTCGGGGCTGTCTGTGGGGTGACCAGAAGCACTGAGACAATGAATGTCGATTTCGTCATGATCTGGCACTGACAACAGCCGTAGCGTTCGCAAGGCCAATGGGACAATTCCGTACGCAGTACCGTCAGGAGATCTGAGTAGTAGCAAGGCACTATAGATCATTTGTCAAAATAGTTGCCGTTTAGGACAGACGTTTGTTTTAAAAAAAACAACTGTCACCTTCGAGCGTCTGATGCTGAGGGTGCAGGTCACAGAGGGAAACGATGGGTCTGCCGTCACACACCCGTGGGCGCGAAGCTGGGCTCTGCCTGGTCCCAACAGAGTGACTCGGGGCCATTCCTCATCTTAGAGTTTTGGAAACTAAGTAAGACACAGTTTAAGTACAGCTCAGGGCTTAGCACATAGTAAGGTCGCAGATGGTAAGTATCACCACGAGGTATCGTGGGGGCTTCAGACAGCGAGCCTTAGCGAGAACGGTTCCAAGGCGTCGTGAGGACCGAGTAGGTTACAGTATGTCCTGTGTTTCATGTGGGGCTCGTGCATAGTTAATGCTTCACAGTCACCCCCATTGTCTTCATCGCCACTAGGCTGGCACGTCTGGGGGTTGAAACTCCAGGGTCCACGCCGGTGTGGAGGGGGTGGTGCGTCCGGGAGACAATGTCTGCGGTTTCTGATGAATTTATTTTGTATGATAATTTCTGTTTTCAGCTCCATTCTTTCAAGACTGCATGTCCGAAAATACTCTGGATGAACTGAATGTTGAGATCCTGCGCAACAAGCTGTACAAGGTAACTATTTCTCCAGACACAATGTTCTTCTTTGTTGTAACATACATCACAACCAGAGTTCTTTATTAGAAGTGACTTTGCCCATTCGCCAACTTCTGCGATTACGAAGCGATGCGTATTTGGAACGTGCATGCGTGTCAGCTTCGCCCCGCCAGCAAGACAGTTGAGAGGAGGCAATACCCCATTCTTCTCTGTATCCCCCACTCTTTGCTTGGAACATGAAAGGTCGATTGGATGGGTGGATAGCGGAATGAGGCTAAGCATATCATTTTTAAAGCTGCCGGCATTCACGGCAAACCTCCTGTTATGTGGCGTCCGCCTCTGCCCTCCATCCTGTCCCTAAATCTCACAGTTAATCTGTCCACACAGCTTTAATCTACTGACAGTGGACAGCATGACGAGACGGCCACCTGTGGACTACATCCTATGTACCACTTTGCATAACCTGGCCACTGACTGCGTGAACTATGCCGCCTGTAATGTGGCTGAGCAAAATCTGCTTTCACCCATGTGGCCACAGAGCAACTGAATAAACCTGTGCTGCCATGCCACATAGCCCACGCGTTATGCTGAAGCATACGGTCCCCTCCAAAGCGCGGCATTCAGGCGATTCTCCTGGTCTTAGAGAGACTTAGGGGCTTAGAGGAGGCACCCCTAACGTACAGCTAACAGAAGGCGCCGTTCTAAGCGATCGTAGGCATTAACTCGCTTCAGCTGCCCCGCAAAGCTACATCGTCTCCATTCCTCGGTGGGAAGACAGAGGCGTGGAGAGGTACGGTTTCTCGTACCCGTGTCGAGATGTCGAGATGCGGGCACAGGCAGTGCGACCGCAGCACAGACCCTGCCTCCTTATGGCACCTCCGCACCCGCAGCCACCCCGAAGGTGCCTCCCGAGCCCTCAGACGTGAAATGTCGCCACAGGCCAAATCGAGAGCCACCTGTTTAGCTCATAAGAGTGTGGCACTCTTGTTAGAGGAGCAAGAATTAGCCATGTGACATCGTCCGAGAATCAGGCAAAAAAGTGCTCGTAAGTGATTATAAGGCACGGTGAGGGCGACTCTGCTCCTGCATGGAGTTCTCCTTCCAGCTCGTGCGACGTGCTTCGATGTGAAAACCTGTTCCACATTTATTATGAAACATCTCCCTACGGGAGAAGTGATTCGGTTTCCATCACTGTTTAAGAAGCCATGAAAAGCTGATCTAGAAATGTTCATCAAAAGCAGAATATATTCACTTTATTGTTTTGTGATCTATCTTCTTTTTAAGTCTTACCTCGAGGCATTCTATAAATTCTGCAAGAACTATGGTGATGTCACAGCAGAAATTATGTGTCCCATTCTCGAGGTAAGAGTTTTCGAATTTTTTCATGCCAGATAATGTGCTGATACACGTTTCCTTTATAGAATCTCACTTATCCTTCGTCTTAGATGCTCCTTTATCTAAAGTCAGCAATATATTTTAGTGTATGCATGCCATTCGATGTCTTCACTTAAAAGTGGCATTTCCCCAGTTTTCTACGTAAAAGTGTTATTTTGAAATTAGAAAAGAATAATGTTTACGAAAGTTTGGGTCATGATTCATTTTGCTGTTGTATGAACAAAGGCCACAGTTAGTTAAAAATTTAGTAAGCTACAGCAGTGTGGACTATAGGCACTCATAACCATCACCCAGATTATCTTCGGTGAGGGAGCATTGGGCGTGGGGACTCCGCAGCCCGGCAGGGGAGTCTGCGGTGGGTGTGGGCCTCGCCCCTCCCACAAATGCTAATACACAGGCGGCCCATGCCTTCCACGTGCTCCTGCTGGGTAGGAAGACTCCTAGATAGTCACTGTTGGCATGCTCAGTGAATTATCTGGGCTTGGAAAAGCCCTTGCTTTGCCTTGTGATACCAAGTTTTGTCCAAAGAATATCTTTAATCATCAGATTATCTGTTACTCTGACTTTGTTGGTAGGTAGATGCTTCCGTAGTTCGGTGACTTCTGATTTAAGAAAGCCTGATAATAAGAACTACCCTTTAGATTAAAAAGAAGGAAAAAAAAAAAAACCCTGAATAACTTCATCTGCATATATGTTAACCTAATGTTCTGAAATATCTGATCATTAACATTTTACAGTTAGAGACCTTTTGTTATCCTCTGTCGAAACTCTTAAAGCCAGAGCAGTCCTCGACGTAAAAAGCTCATCACCAGAGAGCTCCAGAAAACATTTTTTTGTCCTTACTGATATAACACGAAACGTGGGCATTGACGAGTAACATTCTTTTCATGGCACGCTAAATGTCAGAAAGTGAGTGAGCCTCCTTCAGACACGCTGATCACATGACGTAAGTGACCCGGTGACCCCAGAAAGCTCTCTCCCTCTCTTCACATAAATTTCACAACCGGCCACCGTATAAGAAGCCACATCAACTATAGCTCAAAAGTGTGGTTTCCGCACGCATGATTCTTCTGGTTTAGAAAGGGTTCGTATCCTCTATCCTGACAAAACGTACGAAATCTGAGTTACGTCGGAGCTGACAGAAGGTACACGAGGGCACCGTTCGTAGCCGACATTTGTTATGGGCCGGATATTATCCTCAGGGATTTCTATGCACGAATTCACTTGGGCTTCGAAATAGCACAGCGAGGTGGGTAGCTGAATATCTGCTTTTCAGAAGGGGCAGCGGAGGCACAGAGGAGGCTGGTGACTTGCCTGACGTCTCACAGTTAGTCAGTGGTCGTGTCGAGATTTGAACCCAGGCAGCCTGGCTCTGGTTCCTGCAGGTTTATCCGCAGCGTTACATCCCCTCTGTATGAAATTCACCAGTCACGACTCTTACAGAAAAGCAAGTGCTAAGTCAAAAGCAAGATCACACTGCTCGTGCTGTAAAGAATCAAAACTGAATAGGGACGATTCCTGGTACCGTAACGAGTCAGCACGGTGTCATAAGGAGGCTTGTCGCTCGCTGGGAGGGTCTGACCGAACCACACTGCACACTCAGTGCTCTGTCTGTCCCTACGGCCTTGATACTGTCACGTTAGGTGGTTGTCGAGCTGCATTAAAAATAAAAACCCATTTAACTATCTTTACGCATTTATGTGGGAACACCCCGTGACGTTTCTACTGGTCTGATCGGACGAGATGTGTCAGATTTAGATAAATATATCGGGTCGTGTCATGACTTCCCCCTTCGTTTGTGCCACGAGCGAGCACTTAGAGTTTGTAGAGCTCTCTCTGCGTGTTCTCACGTCACCTCGTTCGACAGGAGACGTCAAAAGACTCGGTGTGGCGGAGGAGAGCATTAACCTGGGCTTGCAGGCAAGAACGGGACCTAGTTACAGGACCGTCACTTCACATAAAAAGAAGCTGCCTCGCTCGCGTTCGAGGCACACGCATGCCCTTGACCCCCGCCCCCCGGCCCCTGGTTAAGGAAACGGGGAATAATAAGCACGAAGTCCTTCCCATCTCCCGTCCTGCACGGGCAGAGGAGGCTGGTCTTAATTCCAGACCTGCCATCGTCCCCCACTGTCACCGACCCGCCCCCGGCTCCCACTAGGCATGAACCCACGGGAATGCAGGACCCAGCCGAGCCCGGCTGACGGCGATGTTGCATAAGTCAACAGTATAGGGTCCTATTTTGCAACAAAAGCTGTGGCTTTATAATGAACGAGTGTGCAGGGAGGAGTGGAGAAAGGGGCCTCTGATGTCACGGTGCCAGCGGACGCCAGCCCTGTGCCGACACCACGGGGCTTCGGGGAAGCGAATCCCGCCCCACGTGCTCGCCTCCAGATGCCGTGTCAAATGTCTGCTGAGGAGTGGCCGAGGGCAGCGTGCTAATTTTACAATTCAAAGTTATAGCTCTCTTCCCCGAGAGGACACACGCGTGCACGGCCTCTTAGACTCGAAGAACGGGGCGAGGTGGACATGCGGTCGGGACATCGAAGAAAGACAGGGGACAAAGGAGCCCCTGCCCCACTAGGGGAGACACAGAAGCGCTCCTTAGGAAGGACCGCGTCTGCCGGGGTCCACAAGCGCAGGCGGGATTTCGGCGTGGGGCGCCAGGGCCCGGGGTGCGCTCCTCATAGGCGAAGGGAAGGCGTGAGCAGGCAAGACGCTGGGAGCGCGTGGTCCGTCCAGCCCGGTCCAGCCCGGTCTCGCCTCGACACGGCCTGTGACACTCCTCCCACCCCGCCGTGTCTGCGCCCTGGCCGCTCTCTGTGGGGCCACAGCGCTGCCCGCCCGGCTTCTCCCCGCAAAAGCCCTAACCCCGTAGGACCAGGGAGCACCAACGCTCATCTGGAACAGGGGACCCCTGGGTGCTCCTCCCACCTGATCTTTATTTTAAGGTTTCTTTTGCCATTTTTCCTCTTATCCGTGTGAGGTCGGACATTCCTGACAGGACTGGCTCTTTTCGGTGGCCAGAGGCCACTGCCTTTGTCCCCAGACAGGCCACTCCCCGTCTCTGGCTCCCCCAGAATTTCCATGAGAGCAGCGGGAAGGTCTGAAGGAACTGAGCCCTGCCCCTCACAGGAAACACCTGTTCTGACAGAAAGGCTCCAGTAAAATCTCTGGCAAGTCTGGATTTGTTATCAGTTAGTCAGAGAACATCCTAGATTTTCTTTCTGCCTCCGTGTGCGGATAAATAACCTTGGAATCTTGTTAAAATGCAGATTCCGGTTCAGTGGGTCTGGACTGTGGCCCGAGACTGCATTTCTAACGCGCTTACGGGTGACGTCAAAGCTACTGGTCCGTGGAACACACCCGGGGTTGGAACCCGGTGGAGAATGCTGGAGAATGTTTCACGCGGCAGAATCGTAGGGTGTTCCGCAGCCTTCGCAATCGGTTCAGATCCTCCCGTGTGTCGGGCACGGGGGGTACAAAAACGCACAGCGAACAAGAGGCGCGATCCGCACAGATTTTAGGGTGCCGTAGGGGAAAGCCACGCTGGAAGGTAGTGTGGCCAAACCCCTCGTCTCAGACAGGAAACGGAGTCCCCGACGGGAAGGGGCCTTGCCCCCGGCCACGGGATTCTTAGCCACAGAGTTAGACTGACTGATAGCTAACCTAGGACTTTAAAAAAGAAAGAGGAAGGAAGGAGGGAGGGAAGGAGGGAGGGAGGGAGGAAGGAGGGAGGGAGGGAAGGAAGGAAGGAAGGAAGGAAGGAAAACTGTGCACGAAATTTCACTGTGTAAAGACTCACACTGACACCAACTGCTGGAAGGGGACATCAGCATGTGTGACAGGCGCCTTTCATTCCCAACACCCTGTCAGACGCTGCCACTTACATCACTTTGTCCTGCCCCGGAGTAGACCCCAATGAGTAGGTGCCGCTCCCATTCTCAAGGAGGAGACACTTGAGAGTCTGGTGGCCTACGAGATAGATGCAGGAGTCGTCACAGAGTGCCTGGGACTGAAGGTTGGCAGCGGCTCAGGGTCACGGGCTGTCGTCATGGCTGCGTGAGCCTCTCCTAGCTAACGACGTCGCTCCCTCCCAGAGAGACCGAGGGAGGGCTCCGCAGGCCCGTGTCACGATCAGACACGGACCCGGAGGGAAAGGGCACGCTGCGGGGACGACCTGGCCTCTCGGGGTCACTGCGGGGACGACCTGGTCTCTCGGGGTCTGGCTTCCACTGACTCTCTGTCTTGCACTTCAGTTCGAGGCTGACAGACGTGCCTTCACCATCACGCTGAATTCCTTCGGCACCGAGCTGAGCAAAGACGACCGGGAGACCCTCTACCCGACCTGTGGCAAGCTGCACCCCGAGGGGCTGCGCCTGCTGGCCCAGGCGGAGGACTTCGAGCAGATGAAGAGGGTGGCGGACCATTACGGAGTGCGTGGGGGCGCGGGGTCCCCAAGCCTCGCGGCGTCTTGCCGGCGCGTGTCCTTTACGAGTCACACATTTACACTCTGCCCAAGATTTACCTAAACACACGCCCTTCTGGACAGCGTTTGTTTTTTTTGTTTGTTTTTTTTTAAATAGACGCAGAATTTCTATATGGTTGGGAAAACATCTTCATGTTTACAAGAAATAAGGATTTGTTGGGAAATAGTGTCCCGTCTTCTCTGCAGGTGTACAAGCCTTTGTTCGACGCGGTGGGTGACGGCAGCGGGGGCAAGTCGCTGGAGGACGTGTTTTACGAGCACGAGGTACGATGCACGGGGAGCACCGCCCGCGTACACGTTCCCTCACTCTGGGCGTCAGCGCGCTCTGTGCCTCGGAGGGCCCTGTGGTCCACGTCCGGTGGCGGCTCGTGGCTGTGCCCCGTGCTGACCCGCGTGCGCGGCGGCACTCTGGAGAGAAGGCAGCCTCTCGTGGAGGGACGACGCCGGGTGTCCCCACGACCTCGTGAACGGCCCTCGTGATGCCGCCCTGTCCTGGTCTGACATTCCATCCGCTCACTAGCGTCTGTGACAGAAGGAAGTAAAGACAGGCGTGGCGGCCCGTGCGTCGGGTGAGTTAGGGTGCCGCCCGACCACCGCGAAGGAGGCCGCTACGGGAGCCGCCGTCGGCGGGAGGACCGGGCGTCCACCCTGAGCCCGGGGCCTCCGCTCCCCGGCCGCTCTGCGTGACGTGCTCAGGGTGGCATGAGGGACTGGGTCCCTCTCCACCTTCTTTGGAAACGAAAAGAACGCAGGGATCGTTCCGTTTCAGACCCGACCCCAGTAAAAAAAAAAAAGTTTTTGAAAAATTTTCTTCCTTTACTTCTCTACCTTCTGCAGAAAACACAGACACACGCACGTGCGCCCGAGACCCTTGCGATGCCGCGCGGACTCAGGGGTGGCGGGTGGTCGCGCAATCCGGTTTGGGACGCCTGCCCCGGCGTCCGCCTGCGCGGCACGCACCACCCAGGCCCACGGCCCACGCCGCTTCCCGTCCTTCCGCAGGTGAGGATGAACGTGCTGGCTTTCAACAGACAGTTCCACTGCGGCGTGTTCTACGCGTACACGAAGCTGAAGGAGCAGGAAGCGAGGAACGTCGTGTGGATCGCGGAATGCATCTCGCAGAGACACCGGACGAAAATTAACAGCTACGTTCCCATTCTGTAACCCGGGCCGGGGGGCCGGGGTGGGGGGGCTCCCGGCGCGGAAAATCGCCCACGCCGAGAAGAGGTAGTTGAGGGAAACCCGGGGCCGCGTCGCGTGGCCCCACGTCGCACAGAAGCCGCGTGGCGAAGCGCCCTTTGCCCCCTGCAGCCTTCGATCTCGTCCGCTCATTGTCGCCAGCCCTTCGATGCGCGTTTTAATTAGCCGCTCGGTGCTCTTCCTATGCTTATGTTTTGTTGCGTTAAGAATCAAATCTAATAAAAGCGTTTTTGCTGCTTTTCCTGCTTCTCAGGAAGCGGCACCGAGCGTCTGTTGTACTGTCTGACTGTCCTTTCCCTCCGTGGGGCCACAAAACTCCGGGGCTGTTCGCGGCCCACACGGACCACGTGTGCTGGGAAATACTGTCTTTTTTCCAAACACACTCTGATCCGGTCGGCTCGGGAGAGCGGCGGAGTTTTGAGTCACCTCCCTGGGCATAAGTAGTGGTGAATTTGTTACCAAGGCCACGCTAATAACTTATCGCTCACACAGCTTTCTTCAAACCAAGGATGTGTCTCTCTGTCTCTCACACACATTCCTTCGTGCTTTGCCTGAGAAGACGAGCCCACTAACTGGACTTCACGCATTCAGCAGCATAAAGCACAGGGCGGCGTGCAGCGTGTGGATCTCCATAAAACCTCAGTAGACCTGGTGCACAGAGCTGCCCAGAAACACGCACACACACACACACACACACACACACACACACACACACACACACGGACTCTGAGAAATTAGCGCAGGACAGGCTTCGAGGAAACCGTCGGGAATTTGAGTCCACCTTCCCTGATTTCCGGAACTCTGTGGCCATACGCAGGTTACTGAGCTTTGGAGATTCAGGGCCCCCATCTGAGATTGCTCTGGGGTTTAGATTAAATCGCAGGTTTAAGTGCTGAGCCCACGGCCTGCACGAAGTGGGAGCTCACTACACGCACTAGCCCCACCTCCTCCGCGTCCGAATGACCGGTCGGTGCACGTGACAATCCCAGGCACGAGGCGGGAGGCACCTGGATCGCGAAGGCCGCCTTGCATCGCTCACAGCACGAGGCTTGCTTAGCGTCGATCACACGGGCCTTTAGCGTGAGATCAGACATTCGCCACTGGATATCCACATACATAGATCTATGACTAGAATGATTGTACCTGATTCCCGGAGTATAGTTGACTGAAGATCAATAAACTCTAGTAAATGAGGACCACCCACCTGCATGGCAGAGCGTAGCCTCAGTCTCTTCCGCTTCTGACCCAAGTCCGCCCCCTCCTAAACTCCTGGGGCGGCCCACGTTCCAGTCACCCCGCCCGACTCCCCACTCGCTCCCTCTGCAAGTCCTCGGCGGCCCCGTCTGCTGCAGCTCCACCCAGCCCGAGGTCTGTGTCCCGTCTGTTTCCTGGGACTCGCCGCCCCCTGTTTTGGGTCCCCTCCCCTCCCAGGTGTCAGCTCAGTCTTATGATAAATTCTAACAGGAAGTTAGATAAATCTGTCCCCACGCTGGACACGAACTCCTCCTGACGGCCCGAGGTACTTCCCTTCCCCCAGCCCCGTTCTTCCGTTTTGGTTTCTGTTATAGAAAGTACCTGTAGGGCCACCAAGTCTGAACGGAAGAGCAGTCCCGGGGCACCTGGACACCTGAGTCCTGCTGCTGCCCGGTCCTCCAGGACACAGGGACCGCTCACGGTCAGGAGCCAGGCCGACCCGGGGCGGTGGCCGCGGCCACGGAGCGGTCAGCACGCGGGCTTGCGCTCTGTGCCACCTGCGCCCCGAGACTGCCCTGACCCTCGCGGGCAGCGCCCACGCGCCAGCATACGCTCCACAGCCCGCCCTGTCAGGGCTGCGTTTCTACGTATAAAATTTGTTTTCAGTCCACAGTGTATACTTGTGTCCAGGAGTTAAATGTATAGCTGCCTTGTAAAAACTTATAATGAAAGTATCTTTCATTATAAGTTCGGAATATAAAAAGGCACAAAAAGGACAGATGGTGATGATGATGATGATGATGATGATGATGATGATGATGGTGATGGTGACCCGGTGTTGCCTCGGGGCTGCCACGCTGAACTAGCCCGTCTGCCCTTCCTCGAGAGGACCGCAGCCAAAGTTCTGTACTTCCGTGGGGGCTTTTCCGCGATTTTCTTGTCGTCCTCTCCCTGTCGGGTAATGCAAGTCGTTTTCATGTCTGTTCTCTAGCTTTCTTCCGTTGAATCTGCTTTGCTGCTCTCACCGGGAGCAAGAAAACCAAACTTTCATCCAGTTACAATTCGCCGCGAGAGAGAAGTAAACAGAGCCTCCTGCTCAGCCGTCGGCCTCAGCGCCCAGGCGTGCGAAGCGGCCTGGGTTCTCAGAGGGCCCCTGGCTTTGATGCATTATTTTCTGTTTCCTGAGAGCTGAGACTACTTTGTTAAAAACAAAAAACATAAAAAAAACCGCTGGGTATGTGAAGACTTTTTACGGTATTAGCATTCTCGTTGACAGGAAGTGGCAGAGTTGAATCAGCAGACTGATACGTGGTTTTCAGAATGTCCTGTGATGATCCTTAAGGACCTCGGGGGTGGGGGGGGGGAGACGCCAAGTGCCAAAGTGCATTACAAAACCAAGCCTTTGATTCCTTCTGATTCGTAAGCGGCCGAGTGTGTGTGTGGTCACAAACAGAAGCACCTTCTCCCTGGTTCTGCCAGCTCCCCGCTCGGATTCAGCATTCTGGCTGAGTGCGTTTCCCCTTCTGCTTCATCTGGATGAACTTTGCTCTTTGGGTTTCCTGTCATATAAGGTTATGTTTACAAAAAAGCCACATATCTCATAACCTCTCATCCTCGGGGAGGAGGAATTTCACAGCGCACTGTCAGGCTAATTAGTAAGTAAAGCCGCTTATTGCCGGCTGCTATGGCAACATCAGATACGACATTGTGTCAGACCGTGTCATTTTAATTGGCACGGAGGGAAAGTGGACCTCATCTCTAGAAACAATTTAAGCCAAAATCCTTTCCTAGCTAGACACGGCATCTTAAATTTGAAGTGAAAAGTCAGTGTTCTTGAAGGGGAAAAAAATATATCCTTTTTATGCAAAATATAAAAACAGGACACCTGAAAAGAAAAAAAAATTGATTTAAATTGTGTTGATAAGGTTTGCAGAAAAGATTCCTGTGGATTTGTCTCCCGTTGTTTCTGCTGAATCGAGTCTCTGAGAGGGCTATGAAATCTGCGTGCTCGGAGCCTCGCCGAGCGGGCGTGCGAGAAGCCGACGGTTAACCCCGCACAGGGACTCTGCCGGCGCAGTCTGCAGCCCTTCAGCATCTTCATGGTCACGATCCTCTCACGTGCAAGCACAGGACACTGACCGGAGCTAATCCAAATGAAATAGGTGACTGCGTCTGAAGGGTCGCTCATGACTTCAGGAAGGGGACAGAGGTCAGCGCAGGGAGAGAAGCCATCGGAGCTGGTGCTCGTGAACCTTCTCAGGGACACTCGCCGCGGATGACTCAGCTCTGAGAACGTTCCGTTTCTGCATATCTCGACTCATTTTCAACTGTCTGGGAAAGGAGTCGCCTATCGGCCCAGCCAGACTTGGCATCTCTGCCCTCAGGGAAACGGCCAGTGCCAAGGACAAGGGGCGGAGAGGCAAAGGTCCAGCTGGGCCACGCAGCGTGTCACCGCACCGGGCGGCACCCCAGCCAGGCCGCTAAGTGTCACCGCGCCAAGTCGTACCCCAGCTGGTCCCTCGGGGTGTCACCGCGCTGAGCGGCACCCTGGTGGGCATCTGCTGGGATCGGCGACCCCGTGGGCGGGCTCCAGACTCCAGCAGCTGTAAACGGAACAGTGGTTTCCCTGCGTTTTTATCTTTTTAGGTTAATGAATAATTTCGACACCTTACTAAGTTCCTGTGCTATACCGGGGTGCAGACGAAAGGCGAGGTGTGGAAGGACAAGCTGTCACTCAGGGAGGACAGGCAGCTGCCCCAGCGACGCGCTGAGCGTCACAGCAGATACAATTCAGACGCTTAGGGCGTGACTAGGAGCTTTGAGGGAAAGTGTCAATCCATATACTTCCAGAAAGCTCTCCAGAGGGAAGGATATCTGAGCTGGTTCTTGGAGAACGATAGGGCATGTGCTATGTAATGGGGATGAGAGGCACGCCCTGCAGAAAAAGCGCGTCTTCCAAGCACACGATCCCACCAACGGGTAGAAGACAGACAGCTTGGTCACTTGGGAGCTGTGAACAGCTCAGCTCTCTTGGAGCTTTGGAATCTGAAGGCTTCGATGAGAACGGGTCCGGAGAGAAGCAGGTTCCCGAAGCTTCTACCATGCGACACGACGGGGAATGGACTAGACCCTTCGGTCAGGGAAGGGTTCACGGGCTGGGGCAGCGAGCTGGTCAAAGCTGGCTTTAGAAAAACGACTTTGACTGCAAGGCGGAGGAGAGTGGGCGTGCGAGAAGGCCGGCTCGGACACAGCTGAGACGTCCCCTCCCTTGCTCCAGCAGATGCTGGCCGGGTTCTGCCATCACTGTCTGAACTCCGGATTCCAAGGTGAACACTAAAGCTTTCAACTAACACTAATGAGAACACAGTGAGCAAAGACTGGAAAGGGGCTGACGGTACAAACGGTCTGAGAGGTCAACGGCACGTCGCAGAGGGCAATCTGTTCCTGCTTGCCCACGGCCCCTTCCTGAAGGACCGGTCTGTGCCCAAGGGCCTGCTGTCCCCGCGACCCTGGTCCCCGGCCGCCCTTCACAGCTTTGGTGAGCTGGTCTGATCAGATTCCTCTGTGGCTTTGACGGGTCGGTGAGTAGCACCTGGGCCAGAAGGCGTCAGGGCTGAGACCGTGATGGGCCGCGTGTGGGCTGACACGGAGCGCCTGGCCGTGGCCGGGAAGAGAGGGGTGTCCTGCGGAGAGGAGCAGGGGGCCGCAGACCCCGAGGGCAGCGCGTGCGTGCGCGGTGCTGCCGGGGTTTACGCCGGCATGTGGATGGCTCGAGAGCATCGAGATCACCGCAGCCCCGGCTCGAAAGCATCGCTCCTCTGAGGGCGGCTCAGCCCACATGAAGCTCTGGGCCATGCTGACAGTTTACCCTCGCCATCGGAGAGGTCACCTTCAAGAGAAACTCGAGCGCTTGGAAATCGCTTTCACCACTAAGAAAGCCAGGTGAGAAAAGCAGTTGTTCCCAAGATAGGAAAAATAAATCCACTTGTAAGCGCATCCCCAAAGAACTCACCTTCAGGTTCGTCTCAGAAAACGTCCTGACTTATGGGCCAGCCAGGGGCCTGGTTCATGCGCCGCGCTAAGTACGTTCCTATTTCTCCAGGTGGGTCCGTAGCCTTGAGAGGTGTCTTTTCTTTCTGCTTTCCTGTGTTCTGAAAGGTACCCCCTCAAAATTTGAAACTAATACCTAGCTTAGCCATGCCCTTTAATATAATCGACTTTTTCTCGAGTAGCCAACCATCTTTAATCCTTGTTGGAAATACTGAAAAGATAAAATAGAAATTAGCGAGATGTGATGGGGGATGTGGGGGGGAGGGAGCGGTTTCGAGGCCGACTAGGCCACAGGTCCCTTCCGCGCCATCCGCAATGCGTTCTGATTCTCATAACCCGCGTTACTGTTTCTGACATTGTTGAAAATTTTCTAGTGCGTTTTAAGGAGCCTTGACGCTTGTGGATTACAAGGGCACCCTCTCTTAAAATGCCAGAAATTCCTCCAGTCGACCAAGTTATAAAAATAAAAATCAGTAAAACACGGAGGGCAGAGGCTGGCTGGCTGGCTTGCTCATTTCGTAGCTGCCTGATGGAGAGTAACATCCGAAGAACATCTAAGTAGTCGCCTCTGTAGAAGAGCTATTTCTACCGCACACATCAGAAGGATTGCTGAGCCCTCGTTACAGGCGGAGCGATTAAATGCGTGAGTTCACCGAAGCCTCGCAGCCATCCTACGAGGCTGGGATGTTGTCACGCACAGCCCCGCCGTCAGAATCTTCATCTCCAAGAGTGACAATCGTCGTTCTCAAACTTTTTGTACGCCCCGATTTAGAAACCCTTTGACTGAATAGATTCTCTCCCGTTGGATTTCGAGCCCTCGTTGGACTGGTTTTACCACGGCTGAAAACGTCCTCGACGCAGTCAGGTTCTAGCTCAGTCAGCCGCTCTGTCCCTTCTGTCATTACCGATGCTCGAGTGTGTGACTAGACTTTTGTCCGCAGCGGACGGCAGCTGAGTCTTCTGCCGGTGAGGCTTGGAGACTGTTATCCCCTGAGGCTTGGCAAGAGCCATTTGCCGCTCACACACGAGATGAAGAAAGCATATGGCACTGCCCCATTGGCGGCTCTTCCCCAGCCGCAGACGTGTGCCCATAATCTTTCACTGGCTTTCCAGAAGAGCCACACACACACAAAAAAAAACCTGCAGCGTTGATTCTTCGACGGCTTCGGCTTCTCAAAACCATCTCTCTCAGATTCAGCCTGCAGGCTCCTGAAATATTTAGACGTCGATCACTGCTTTCTTTCCAGAGGACTTTACACAAGTTTAATCATTTAAATCATTTCCTTAATACCGACCTGAGGTGAGGTGGATTCTGCCGAACCAGCATTAGAAACGTCCCGAAGTTTTGACTCTTGCCATTAAAATTATGATTTCTGCAGAACTTGCAGTCAGCTTTTTAAAAAATTCCAAAACAAGAATGGGCTTTGGATTCAGCTATGACGTCAAGGGTTCTGTGAGCCAAATGCTTTTAGCGAGAAACACAATGCATGTTTCCTGCGAGCAAAAGAAAATAATATTATCTCTGACTTTTCCTTGCAGTATTTCTTTTTAAAACACAAATTGTTGGGATAAGATTGAAGCCAACAGATGACAAAACTCGAGTTGGCACTCTGCTCGGTGCCCAGAACTAGCCCATCGGTTCAGAAGGCGGAGGGAACCACAGAGGCTGCTGGCTTTATGAGGGACACTTTGTTCTGCAGAAGCTTTGCTGGCACGCCCCATTTGTTTTAATGAATTCGGTGTACAGCAAAACGCTAAATGTGTATTATAGAAATTGCAATTTGATGTTACATAACCCTGTGAGATTCTCAGATAAAATCCAAGATGGGGTAAGAGACAAAGTCTGTTCTTAACACAATCCAGAGATTTCTCTCAGGGGCTCCAGGATAATCTCCCACAATGCAAGGGGCTGCATGTCAGTAGTAAGCGGCACCTCAAGACGTTTGATGGGGAGCATTTTGCCACTTACCGTGCGTGCGCATTTCACAGCTGCCTGATTTAGAGTAGTGTCTAAAGAAAATCTAAGTAATTTTCTCTGCAGAACAGCTCTTTCCACTGCGCATATAGGAACAATTGCCGTGAGTGAGGACAGGATATCTACGCTGGCTGGAAAAATCAGCGTTCTATAGAGAACTGGAACCAGCAGGATGTGTGTATAAAGAGAGAGGGAGAGGGAGGTAAAGGTGTGGAGATTTGTTTTTAAGGACTTGACTCACGTGACTATGGAGGTTGGCAGGTCCAAACACTGCAGCGCGGGCGGGCAGGCCGGAGAGTCGGTGCCGTAGTTCAAGTCCAAAGACCATCTACTGACAGAATTCCTTCTTGCTCGACAGAGGGCAGTCTTTCTATTAAAAGCTTCAACTGACTGGATGAGGCCCACCCACATTATGGACGACAAACTACTTCACACGATGTCCACTGATTTAAATGTTAATCCCACCCAAAAAACACCCTCACAGAAACATGCAGACTAGTGTTTGCCCAAATATCTGGGCACCCTGGCCCAGCCGGGTTGACACAAAAAACCAGTCATCACACCAGGGGATGGCTCTTCATACTTGACAAGTCCTGTGACATTTGTGGGTACCACTTTCTAGGGATGAAGAGAGACGGGGAGCAGAGCCGGCTAACGGAGGCCGCGAAACATCTTCGCACACTGACCGCCTCTCTGCTTTCTGAAAGCACACCTCCAAGCCCAGGACCTTGAAAACGCTAAGCTAAGTGCACAGACCTTTTAGACTGAATGCTACTGGGTGGATGCTCATACACAAGCGCTATCTGCTCACCTGACTATTACACACACACGTCGCCCACACAACTACATCATGGCAGAGAGGTCACGTTGCCATCAAATGAAGACACGGTAAAGCTGTTCTTCTAAGGCACCTCAGAATTGAAAGGATCAAAATGGGAACGAACCTCAAAACGCATGCTTCTAAAATAGCTTTTAGGTTGAAAAAAACCACTACTGACGGGAAAAGCTAGCAAGACAAATGGGGTTATTGCTTTACCTTCGGATCGGCACTGAAAGGACTGGGGAGAGAGGAAGAGAATGCTTTTTTTATTTTTATTTGTTAACTTTCATTACAAGATGCTCACAAATCAGTAGGGTAGGGCGGGGGTGCCGGAAAAAAAATGGGAGAATGGGAAAGACATTGTCAATATAGCAAACAACGCAGAACTGAGACTTAAGCTTTTTGCCAAACAAAACAGAGTTTAGTTACAATAAACAATTTCTCTGAGATTTTTAAAGGTAGGTACTGTCTTCCGCACTTTTTTATACATATTATCTCATTTGAAGGAAGAATTTACCGTAGGCATTTCATCATTAATATTGGATTATGTGCATAATCTTGATTTGGAATTCGGCATGATGTAGAGGACTACTTTTTTTTAACAGTTTCTGCTTCTGACATCTGTTCATCAGACACATCAGGGATGCAAATATTAAACAGCAACTGTAGGTAGCATGTCATCTTCTGAAACCCAACCAACTTCAATTTAAAGTATATGAAGGGGACGTAGAACAGAAGGCCACTGAGAATGAAGAGACACACGTAGACGTAACGCATATGTGGAGACTTCACCAAAGGTATCACAACTAAGCACAGACCGATGGCCATTGTCACCAAGGGAAAGGGCAAGAACACCTGAAAAAAGTAAAATCCAAAAAAAAAAAAATATTAGATATGAAAGCCCATATGTGCTACCTGCGTATTTACACAAATGAAACTAAGATTGAAGCTAACAATGGAAAATGGGTTAATCCCCATTCGACTGCTCATTCGTGGGAATAAGTCTGATCTAGGCGACATGAATTTGTTGAGAGGGAGTTTCTAAAGCCCAGTGGAAGTCACAACAATTTTCCCAGGAAAATATCTCCAAGCAGTGAGAAATTTATGTCAAAACCAATATCCTCAGACCCTCTGTTACTCAAGCAGACATTGACAGGTACTTATTATGACTTTATAGACTCAGCTTATTAAAAACAAAACAAAGCAAAGCAAAACTTTTGGTCAAAACAATTCTCCCTATTTTTTGTGGGGTTTGTTTTTTTTTGGTGGGGGGTTGTTCTTTGTCAAAAAAAAAAAAATCTTTGAAGCCCTATCCTCAATATCTGCTTTGTGTTAGGATTGTAAGCGTCCTGCACCAAACATGACCCAACCTAGGGAGAAAATTTAGTAGGTCACTTTTGTGATGTCTTTAAGAGTGATGAATCTGTACCCTAGAAATGTCACACAGCTAGTCATAGTTCTGGAACCCTTTAATTAAAGGGTCATTTCCTGGGGGCTTAAGGCGTTAAGACTCCCCTTTCAATCTGTAACACACCCCTGCGAAGATCACCTGCCGTCTCACAGCTCAGTGTCAGCTGCCAAGTGAGTGAGAGGGGGGAACAAAGCAGCGCCCATGTGCCATCGAGACGGATTCCAACCACTAGGTTCTCCTCCTCGTTTTTGATGCAAATGCGAATAATATAAATAGTAGTAACTGTCAACGTGGGACTCTGGCTGGCATGCCTTAGTGCATTTAGTAGTCCCACATCCCTAGGGGGTAGGCATTATTTATTCCCACTTTAGATCTGAAGAAACTAGGATCAGAGGTCAAATAAGGAGACAGCTTCCCTCCCCCATGACCCCTCTGAGTGTCCCCAGAAGCCACCATATGGCGATGACCATACTATGGTTCTGGTCACCTGACTGTCTGGAGGGATTGTGCCCGCTCTGCTGAAAGGCAGCAGCCACGTCTTAGTCCTTCCTGTACCCAGAACACCTAAGTGAGGGACTTAAACAGATAACAATACTCAAACACACACAGTGAGGGGTGGTGGGCGGAAGCCGGGGGAGGGGACTAGAGGAAGGACAGCTGTCCCCTGAAGCCCACGAATAGCACACCGCTTCCTTCTCACCGGTGTCTTTCTGAGGTTTCGTGCTTACGAAGCGAACTCTCCAGAGAGGCTGCCTGGATCTGTCCTGTGTGAGCTTCGCAAGGGGCTTAATGCCTCTAAACCTGTTGCCGCGTCTGTAAAGTGGTGATGACGGCAGTGCCCGCCTTTCATGGGACTGAGAGGCGTAAATGTGACAATCCAAGCAAAGCTTTTGATGGATGCCTAGACTGCCCGATGACTGGCCGCAGGCCGCCTCTCTCCGACACCACCGTACGCTGCCAGGGGCTGTCCCCTAAAATTCCTCATCCAGATCGAAGGTAGAGTTAAAAGTGAGTAACGCCGAAAAGATGGAGTTTGTTGGTGATCGGACTAAGTGGATGTTTCAGGACAGGAGATGTCATCACAGACGCACACAAAGTCATGTCTGGGCAAGAGATGCGTCCCGATCTGCCGGCCACCAAGAGAACCACCTACCCTTCTCTCTAGTAGACCTAACGGAACCTAAGCAAGTTCACACTGTGTAAAATCTACCCGAGGACGATGAAAATTGAAATCCTGACCAGCTTATCTTTATGCGTTTCACAATTGGTTCGTATTCGCACAGAAAAAAAAAAAAAAACAGAGAAGTCGCTTTTACCTTATAAGGTCTGGGTAGATCGGGCTCCTGGTACCTCAGTTTTAGTATGCCTATCATGGATAACACAGTCCAAATCGAAACGGCAAAATTAAGATAATTTATCAGGTCGATCAGGTTCATCGACACCACCGCGATGGACGCCATAGTGACCAGCAACAGCACAGACGGGAACGGGGAGGAGTGGCGATTGAGCATAGTGAATAACGCGGGCAGCTGGCCCTCTCGGCCCGCGGTGTAAGCCACTCTCGACGACTGAAACACGTTCATCAGCAGGCTGCTGAACAGCGAGGCGGAGACGCCGAACGGGATGACCCACGCCAGCGCGGGGAGGACTCTGTGCGTCCACGCGACAGCCACGGGGCCTGCAGGAAGTGAGCACACGAGGAGGCACGTGAGAAGGGGGAGCCGACGAACACGCTTTCAAGTCACTTCCAGGCGGACGCAGGAAATGCGAAAAGGAACGAAGGAAATGGAACGTCGCGCGATTTCACCGTTTCCGTCCTCATTTCACACGGACACGACGCCGCGGGCACGTGTCCATTTCAGCCCCGTCGCGCTGTATCATAAATGGTCACCACCCACTTCGCTTCCTAAGGGAAGGGTCATTCGTTATCTTTTCTATAAAACTGATGTTTCACTCAGTGACGGACACGGGGTACGTTTTCAGTAATACCGTGAAATGCGCTGACTTTGGTGGGTGGACGATTTGAACGCATGCTTATTTTAGAAAAGAAGTTTACAGAGCGCTGGTGGTCACAGTCAGAGTTCAAAAAAGCGCAGGGCGATGCCGCCCAAACGGGAAGGAGACTTCCGCCAGCGCACATCACGGTGCAGTCGGAAATACTTAACAAATGAAAACGAACCGCACAGACAAAGAAAACGAATTACACGCCCAGTAAAATCCTCATGACATTTGGGCGCTCGTCTAAACCACAGACCAGGTTCTCAGCTGGAGGTGACTTGGCTCCTCGGGGGGTCATTTGGCAATGCCTGGAGCTTTTTCTGGTTGTCACAACTGGGGAGGTCGGGGTTTACTACTGGCATCCAGTGGGTGGAGGCCAAGGATGCCGCCAAACATCCCGCCACGCACAGGACGGGCCCCCCATGAAACCCTGTCTCGTGCTGAGATGGAGAAACCCCACGTCTAGAGAATATTCTGATTTTGTTACTTAAAGGTGAAGAGATCTAACAAACACTCGTTGACTCTAAGTCGGTAGCTATAAAAGGCACCAATGAAGAAAAGCCACCCTTGCTCGCTTATGAGAACTGATTCCCGTCCAATTGATATCACATAGCTATAGACAAGGGCATGTCGTTCAGAGTCGCTCACCGTCAGGGACTAGCTTTTCCTGTGCCGACATCGTCTAGTTTTAAATGGAACATGGAGCCCTCGGGAACACGGCGTGCCCAGGGCGGCGGTGACATTGAAATCCTCCCGCTGGAAAAGCCCGGGAGAGGCCGGGGGGCCACACGCCCTCGCACGGTCTCCGCTTTTGGGCAGATTCCAGAAATGCTCCCTGCCAGGGGTGACTCTGTCCTCTGATCTCCTGCCAGCTCCCCCAGACCGGTCACTGTACGTCGAGGAGGTGCTAGTTTGGCTCCGCCTTCGTCTCTGCCCCACGAGCGGCTTTTCCTTTTATTTCTCCTCACCTCATCTACTTTCCTGCTCTGGCGGGTTCTGAGGCTGTGTTCCCTCTCTCGGGAGTCTGGACGGTGTTTTATGAACACTCTGTGCCTCCAGGGCTGGGCGGGTCATTGTGTGAGTGTCCCCTCAGTGAGAAGTGGGACTTGGGGGTCAAAAGGCATACACTATTTTTTTTAAAAAAGAGTGAAATATCAAAAGGTAACATCCAAAAAACTTTCCACCATCTTCTCGAAATTCTTAGCCACATCCAGTTGGCCAAATGCGGGCTGGGAGGGAGGGTCAGGGAGACCCTCTGGCCTCTGCCCCCAAGAGTCCCTCACCGTCAGGGACTAGCTTTTCCTGTGCCGACATCGTCTAGTTTTAAATGGAACATGGAGCCCTCGGGAACACGGCGTGCCCAGGGCGGCGGTGACATTGAAATCCTCCCGCTGGAAAAGCCCGGGGCAGGCCCCTGACTGCCACGGGCCCGCAGACCTCATTCCAGAGGGACAATGTTCCCTGCTCTGTCGCAGAACTCGTTCAAAACGGAGGCTCCTTTTCCCTCCTTCAACAAGCAGAGAAGAAGTGCTGAGGACACCAGCGAAAACCCGACACGTCTGATGTCACGGGTCCTTTTCCTACGTACGCCACGGAATCTGAAGCGTATCACAGCTTCGTACGACTTGTTTTCAAAATCCGTCAGATGAAATGCGGCATTCAGTTCACACCACATCCTAGGGATTCCCTGCTCTGTAGGAACTTTTCACATTTTCTATTCCCATTTGATGGAAAACGTTCATTCTTCAATCCTCAAAATTCCCCAATTTAGAAATCCATTTCTAATGCTTATAATTTTTCTCTTGTGTCAATTATGCAGTTCATTAAAGAAAATGTGGGAAATTCAGTAAAGAATAAAGCGAAATCACCCACAATATCATTCCAGCAGTTTTCCACTCTTAACTACTTACTTTCTGTCTCAGTATCATAGAGATCCTGCTTTTCCCGCATTATAAACATTGTTCCTTTGAGTATTCATCAACAATATGATCTTTGAAAAAGCTCAGAAGGGTCTATTACAGGGATTTCCATAAATTATTTGTTCATTTCAAATTCGTTGGATGTTTCGATGATCTCTCTGTTTTTGCCCTCGTACGTAATGCTATGGTGGCTGTCCTGTGCATACAAGTTTCATCTATAGCTCTGATTTCCTTAATTTAAATTCCTAATACAGTAAAAGGTAGATACAGGAATTTAAAAAAAATTATTTCAGAATTTAAACATGCTCTGAGAATTTTGTGCCTGACCAGCAATCACTGTAAACTAAATTATAAGCAATTATAGTCAAAACACACGTGCCAAAACAATAGTGCCACCCACAGAAGTGCTGCACCCATCTTGACACACCAGTGGAGAGAGTCACAATTTTTTAACCACCAGAATGGCCAGGGCCGATGCTTCAACGAACCGTAACAACCAGGCCAGCTGACCGGCGGCCCTGACCACACCCATAATTAACTTTGTAAATTGATTCTCTACATAACCAAAGTAGTTAATACATCACTACTTGTTCTCATCCAATTTAGCGTTGGGTTGGTTCCCACGAATACTCAGCATCTTGGCGCTATCTGGCTTAAAGGGCCCGTGGCGATGCATCGCTGGTACTGTGCTCACAGCGCTTCCTGTGGGGCAGTGACTCAGAAGTGAGGCCAAGTGTGTAGGACTTTTATATTAAACGCCCCTTAGGTTGGCCCCGAGGGCCCCCGAAGACTTACACAAACAGTGATAGCGACAGCGATCAGGCCTACGGGCTCTGGATGGTGGTTGACCTCAGATCAGGCCTACGGGCTCTGGATGGTGGTTGACCTCAGGCTCGATGCCGACTCGGGGAAACTGTCGGTTTCCTGTTCCTCAGTTCTTTCTAAATTTCCTCTTAGTCCTTAAACCTGTTATTTGCTTTTAAATATATGTTTATTTCCTTAAGATTTTCTTATTCTTTCGTTGTTTATTCTACCATTAAGACAGTTATCTACAACTAAAATAGTTATCATTGAATCGAATTTTCAATATGTTCAGGGCTTTTTGCCATCGTGATGAATTTTAGCATTATTTACAGGAAACAACATTATACAATATGAATCGCATCTACTCTTTTAACTGCTAAAATCCTACATTTCAAGTTGGTCATTCTTTACCTCGGGTAGGATAACGTTTGGAAAATCAACGTGGTAAAAGTTTTAGTCACTATAAGCCCCGAGGACACAGCGCCACTGCTCAGGAGAGGTCACGAGAGGAACCCAGGCTTCGCCACACACCAGCCTCGGCGAACTGCCCCCCATTCTCAGAAGACGCGCTGCCCAGTTTAAGGATGAAGCTGTTCTCTAAGCCAAATCATACCCTTTGCCATCTTCAAAAATTACTAGTTGATTCTCCAAACGAAACAAGGAAAAGCAGTCCCAAGTCTGCCTCCTAAAAGTACCAGAACTGTCCTTATTATCATTCATGGCCTTAGTCATTTGCATACACACCTGAAGAGAGAATTTCCCTGGGGGTCAGAACAGCCAGGTAAGACACGTTAACCAGTAAGTAAAGGACCGTCACCAGCGGTAAGGCGGTGAGTATGCATTTTGGGATTGTCCTTCTGGGGTTCTCCAGCTCCCCTAGAACACACAAAAGAGCGAAATCACAATTGGTAAAAATGACGTCCTAAATGTGTCTTTACACCTGTGCGCTGTGCCAGGCGTTGGGCTGGCTTCTTCCTCCGCCCCCGGCCCCCGCCACGGCACGCGCGCAGCCGTGTGCCCCAGGCACGCGCACCGGCGAGCTGCGTGCGCACCCCCTCTCCGAGCGTGGGGCTCAGTGAAGAGAAGCGGGGAGCGGGCCTTTCTTCATTTTCTCCATCGATGGTAAAATTACCGAAGAAAAACTCAGGAACGGAAACAAGAGCCGAGCCCACTGGACGCTGGACGGTGTGGAGCTGACCCGTGTCTGCGGCCTCGTCCACAGAGGGCACGGCGCGGGGCGTGGGCGGCGGTGTGACCTGGCAAAGCCACCCGCGAGGAGAGCAGACACGCGACGACACGGTCACGGAATCCAAGGCAAATGGGGACCGTGGCGCACGGGCGCCGGAGGTCCGAGCGCTGTGAGAACGTGTCGCCTGACCGTCTGGTCCCATCTGGTCCCCTCTGCACGCCTCACGCCCTGTGGCCACCAGCCTGTTCCCTCCTTTCCTAGCCACCTAATTAGGCTTGGCTTGTCCTTCGGACCTCAGCAGATCATAATTTCTGGGGAAACAGGAAGACACTTTCCCTGGCCAGCAAAATTGCTCCAAGGTACGTCCCCAGAGCACACACGAGGGGTCGGCACGAACCCCACCTCCCGGCGGGCGCTCCACCTGCCCTTTCTGTCACCGTTAAGTGCAAAGCAGAAAAAAAGAGGCTGTGATGTAGCGTCACGTACCGTGGATTTTCCAGGATCGTCTTATTCTCAAATATTGTCCCAATCGTCACACTGTTCTCCCCAGTTTCGCCGTTCTCTGAGGATGGTCCCTGACATGCGATGACACGTCATAGCTATGTGCATGCGAAGTCGCCCTGTGCCCCGGCCCCGGCAAGGGACCAGGCTCAGACCTCTCACTCGCTAGAAGCCAGTAACTGCCAGTCCTCAAGATTTCGCTCCAGACCGAACCAAATGTCAACAACCCCCCACGGACACACACACAAGCAGTGTCGTGGTGGCGAGAAGGGCGGGCCGCTGAGGGCCCTGGAACATTCTTCCAGCAGATTCCTCTTTTGTCGCTTAACGCACGTATGTGGGTTTCTGCTAGTTGGAGCCAAATCTCTCCGTCTGCCCTCTGACGCCCGTCACATGTCACCGCCCGCGACGCGGGATCCCTGGCGCCATCCGAGGGGAGCGGGTGGAGCACTCAAGGACCAAGGAGAAGCCGCTCGTGGGGACCCGGCCTGTGTCATGTACTGGCCGTGAGCTTTGTCCGACTTACCGACTCACGAGGTTTCACATCGGGAGAAATGTAAACTATAGAGACACTAAAGTTCCAGTCAACTGCCTGGCCCTTAATGAGTTCGGAATGGCTCTGGACAGCGAAAGGACACTCTGGGGATTAACTGTGCCTTCCTCCGGGCCTTTTCCTCTTTCTCATTGTGTGATAGATTGACAGAGAGGAGGTAAGGGACACCATACAACAAAACGTAACGCAATTTCAGGTTACAGTGGCCGGACAGGTAGTGAATATTTGGGGGCTTGAACTTAGAAGGTGAAAGTTCCTACAATTTACAAAGTCAGCTGTCGACAAATCACCGTTTTACAGGTCAAAGTGTTACTTGGAATTTAGTCGTATTTAAATTAGTTGTAAATAAATTAACAACCCCACCGAAATTCCTGCAGCTTTTGTTTACTGCCAGCTGTTGTGAAGGACCCTATAGGTTAGTTTACTTTGTAAACCTATTTTCAGCAGACAAAACATGATCTAGCGAGAAAATATCTCTGGAGACGGAACAAGGTGAAATCGGCTCAAATAGGAGCCAGAGATAATTCTTCAATCCTTCCACGAATGAGGCAAAGGGAGAGGTTGAGAAAGATTTGCTAACTGTGCCGGCCTCTCAAGTCACAGTGGCCCGTTTAATCACAACTGCACAAAAGAGCAAAGTCGGGCCGTAGCTGTCTCTTCTCAAGACCTCGCTTTTCCACTCAGTGCAGACCGACTGACCTCTCTTGCTCAAAGGCCACCGGCGCCCTCTGACTTAGTGAAATGGCTTCTGGTCAGCATCGCACCGTGTCAGTCACACCCTCTTGGGGGAAGAAGTGAGTTTTGCTCATGATGCTCTAAACCTCCTGTGGCTCCTTGGTTAGGCCTTTGCCTCCGGCCTGAAAGCTGGCCCTCCACTCACCCGTCTCCAGCCCTGTGCCACGCTGCTCTGCTTCTCTGCGCACTTGCCCTGGAAGTCACACCTGTCATCGGCCCGCGAGATGGAAACCAGTCCGCGGTCGCCCACTACCGTGCCCCGTGTCCTGCACGCACCTGCACGCTCTGGTCTCCACAGCCGTATCAGGCACAGAATGACACTGATGTTGAGCCATGGTGCCCATTTTTCCAGATGAGGGGGGGAAAGAAAAAAGTGAGCACAGAGAGGTGAAGACACTTGCCACAGCGAGTGAGTGGCAGGGTTCAGGCCAGGATCCAGGTGTGGCTTCTTCCACTAGACTGTAAGCCTCTTATGGTAAAGAACACATCTCACTCAGCTTCAGGCCCGAATGCAGGGTTTTAAAAATAGCCAGTGTTTACAAAGCTATTTGCTGATTGAATCATTTACTGAACGATCGGTGATTACGGGGGCCCGGAAATGGAAGGGAGCTTAGCCCAAAAGCAGAGAGTCTGCTTCTTGCTTAAACGTCCAGGGAATGAGCTGGTTAACGAGGCTGGAGTTGAAGAAAATGAAATCGATGAATGTGGACGGGCCCCTGAAGAGGTGAGGGAAAGGATGCAGAGAGCGTTCAAGGAAAGAGCCTGACTTCGAACATGGAGAGAAAACCTCTGTCCTGACATCGGAGGCCAGAGTGCTAAATCCAGCCTCGGAGCAATCTAGACCTACGATTCTCTTCTCTTTAGAAATACTCATGAGCCTAGGTGTGTCACAGCCACCCGGCACAAACACGACCTGGCACTGCGTCGTTCCTGGAGTCACAGTGTCATGGGAGGGAATGATTTCCACAACCCCAGAATCCATCCTTTACCAGCAAGGAAACCAGAGTATCACGAAGAGCCCCTATCCGTGTCCCAGAAAAGGAAGCGGAGGACCACGGATAGGGGCTCTTTGTGATACTCTGGTCAAAATACTCGGCGCGGGGAAGAGAAGCTGTTCCGTGAAACGCTCTGGAATAACTGTGGGGTGAGGAGGTTGAGATCAGGTGGCCAGTGCAAGGCCGGCACATTCTGACCTGATTTAGAAAGTCACAAAGAAGAAAAAGAAAAGGAATCATTTATTTAAAATAAAACTCAAAATCGAATTAAAAAAAATGTCCATTTCCTAGTGTATGCAATAAATCATGGCTCGAGAGGTTTTTCTCAGTGAGTTGTTAATCACCTGCTATATACGTAAGGCATCCCCCGCCCGAATACGCGAAGTACCCTTGGAAGACGGCTTGAATCAACTGGGAGGCGTCGGGGTACTCGGCCTGGAAAGCGTTCCGAAAGCTGGCCATGTTCTCCTCCCTCCCTCTCGCCAGCAACACCACCCCGCTCACGGAGATGAGGCCGAGGATGGCCATCTTCAGCGCGGTGCTGGCCATCTGGAGCCAGGCTACCTCCCTCACACCCCGAGAACTCAGAATGCCCACCACCCACAGGAAGGCCAGCGCCAGGCAGCGCATGGGCAGCCCGGGCACGGGGCAGCTGGGGTAAAAGGGCTGGACGCTGTACTGGGCCAGGAGCAGGGCCTGGCTGGCTATCACGGCGGCCCCCAGGAACAAGCCCGTCCAGAGGTTCAGGAAGGAGACGCAGCTGCCGAAGCACCGCAGGAGGAAATAGTAGTGGGCACCGCTGCACGGGAAGGTGACGCCTATCTCAGCCGAGCAGAGCGCGTCCATCAGGGCCAGCAGGGAGCAGGCGGCCCAGACGCACAGGGACAGCCCCACGTTCATGCGGCAGTACTTGAGCACGCCGGCGGGCGCCACGAAGATGCCCGCGCCGATTATCTTGACCATCACGAAGCTCGTGCCCCAGGAGTAGCCGAACACCCTCTTGAGCTGTATCTTCTTCTCTCCGTACATTGCAACCCAAGAGTTTTACAAGTCTAGGTAAAAGCGGTTTCCCCAGCGTCCTGTCTACGCCGCCGGAAAGGCTGTCGGCGGATCCTCTGAGGCAGAGCAGGTCCTTTGCGTCCTACCTCCGTTTAACGTAGCAGTTTTTAATCATTAACAAAACGTACGTGACGCATCCAAGTCAAGTGGCATAAGATTCCTTGGAGAGGTTTGGTTTGACTTGGTTTTTAATTATTATCAAAATAATACATTCAGATGGAAAAAGGAATTTAAAATGAGACAGGGCGCCGCGGCCGAAAGCAGCGTCCTGCGTCACCGTGCCCCTCCCCAGGCCGTCCCCACCTCTTCCGTGCGCGAACACTCGTTCGTGACACGCACGGTCGCCTCCGTGACTCTCAGGACCACCAGAAGACGCTGGCCGTCGAGCATCTCGACTTGAGAGAGTGTCCTTCGCCTTCCCGTCGTGGACGCTGGGGAATGAGCCTTCTACCCTCTCGCGGGTCCCGCTCCCTCTCCCTCCCGTCTATTATCCTCAGACTTTCAAGAGACGAAGTATTTACCTTAGGTCAGGACCATGGAAGCCAGTCAATAAGACGAGAGCGTGACAGACCCCGCACACAGGCCTGTCCCTTGACCATTCGTCATCCCGGTGGCCAGGGTCAAAGGCAGGAAGATGTGGACAGGACGTGCAGGAGGAGGCCTGCCCCAAGGACGAGGGAGGGACGGAGGGTGCTGAGCACGGAACAAGGCTTGGGCCTGTCTCGCTCTTACAAATATGCCAACATCCCTCTGAGTACCTGCCTCCAACGCCTCACAAGTTTGAAGCACCCCCCGGCCTCCTATGTAAATCATTTCCGAATTATCCTCTAAGAGTAAATGAAAACATTTATGATTTTGCTTCCGTTGTGGGTAAACTGGCGACTGTCTGACAGACAGGACCCCAAAACCCACTGATGATACTGTGTAGGTCTCAGTAAACATGACCAGGCCCTCATCTCAAACAAAACCAGGCTCCCCACCCGTCCCAGAGAGGTAGGTAGAATGGATTAAAAAAAAAAAGCATTATCCAATTATATACAGTCTATAAGTGATATCCTAGATTCAAAGATACAAATAGGTTAAAAGTAGAAAGATACAAATCGATATATAATGGAAACAGTATCCAAGAAAAGAGCTGCAGAGGCTTTACTAATAAAAGGCAAAATAGGCTTTAAGAAAAAATTGCTACTAGACTGGAGAGACATTTTATAATGACAAAAAGATCAACTTAGCAAGAGAAATAATAATTATAAACTGTAAATACCTGACAGAATTAGAGGCGGAAACAAAAAATTCAACAATAGTCGTAGACTTTGACACTCTGCTCTCAAAGCCTGATAGAAAAACTAGAGAGAATATATACAACTTAAAGCACAAAACGAGAATATGTACAACTTAAAAATATCAACCCACTTGACCTAACACCCATCAAGAGCAGAAAATAAATTCCCTTCAACCACACATGGAACACTCTCCAGCATAGGTGATATGTTAAGGCAGGAAATGACTATTAATGAATATAAAATAATTTATTAATACTGATGGAGTTAAATTAAAAACTACAAACAGAAGGAAGCTACAGTAATTGTATGTGATGTTGCAAAATAAAAGACAAATAGATCAACAGATCAGAATCGAGAGTCCAGAAATAGAGCCTTATATTTTAGTCTACTGATTTTTTTTTTCCCCACAAAGGTGCCAAAGCAATTCATTGGTGGGTAAGGTAGTCTGCTCAAGAAACGGGGCTGGGACCATCAGATCTCCACATATGGAGAAATCGACTAGACTTTCATCTGAGACCATCCACAAAAACTAACTCCAAATAAATCATATAATTGAATGTAGGAGTTAAAACAATACAAGTTTATAGAAGAACAGATAGAAGAAAAGCTTCAGAACCTTATGTTGGGCAAAGCCGAAAAGCATGGTTCATGAAAGAAAAGATTGTTAAATTGGACCACATCAAATTTTAAAACTTTTGTACTTCAAAAGGCACCATTAAGAAAAAGAGAAGACAAACAACAGATGGGAAGCATGTATTTTTAAAACACATACCCAGTAAAGGCCTTCTACCCAAAATTCACACACACTCACACACACACACACACACACACACACACACACACACACACAAAATAAAATGCTTACAACTCAATGACAGGAAGATGATCCATCAAAAATGGGCAAACGTGAATAGACATTTACCAAGGAAGATATATAAATGGCTAATAAAAAATAAGCCAGCATATGGAAAGATGCTTAACAATATCAGTCAGCAGGGAAATGTAAATAGAAATCACAATGGGATACCATGTCCCACCTCCCAGAATAGCTGTGATAATCCAGACAGGCAGAAACCAGTGCCGGCCACGGACCCGGACAAACAGGAGACCCGCCCCCCCAAGGCACCGGCCATTCTGGACAACGTTTTGGTCATTTCTCTAGATGTGACACTTAAACGACCCTATCACCAGCAATTTCGAAGGAGGAACGGCGAGCTGGGCGAGCCCCAGGAGACAGGACGCGGAGGCGTCGGAGCGGAGAGGGCGCGGCGCTGTGTGGAGGACACGGTCCTTCGGGGTGGCCACCTCTGGGACTTGCTGCGTCTGCAGCCGGAGGGCCCTGCGTCCTGGGAACGCCTCGTTCTCGGGCAGATCAGAGACGTGGCCGCGCTGCTCTCGGCCCACACCTCCTGATCGAGCCTTGGAGGACCGAGGCAACAGTGTTGCTGGGGACCAAGAGAAGATGCTCATGCCCTGATGCCCTCCGGGGACCCGCCAGGAACCAGGAAGGGGGTGCAGCAGAGAGCACGGTGTGGCAGGCCCAGGAGCAGAGGCCACGTCCACGTCCTCCCGAGACACCCGTGGCACCCGCGGAGTGGAGAAGGGGTGTGGCAGCCAGCTGGGGGGGAGGTGGCCGTACGATTGGGACAGAGACTCTGGTCCAACAGGTCCTATGGGGCATCCATAGAGACGCGATGAGAACGGGCTCGGGGCGTCACCAGAGCAGCGAAACAGACTGGATGCCCGCCGAGGCCGCACTCTGCCCGAGCCGCCATGTGGGACAGCGCCATCGAGCCTCCGCCAGGGATCTGACAGCGTAAATGACATAGATGGCAAGGACCCAGGACTCACAAAGCACGACGGGACCAGGTCCCTCTCGCATTCCCCACTGTGGCAGCAGCATACGCCCCTAAGATTTAAAAGTCAATCCCCAAAAAAGGAGAGCGAGAAAGACTGAATGAGGAGCACGTTCTGGGTACAATTATATTTCTCCATCAAATGACTGGGAAAAACCTGAATTTATTTTTACTTAGAAATGACTGTGTTTTCTGCTTCAGGCAAAATAAGAACTTTGAGACAAAAATCAAAGCGAATTGTACAGAAAATAAAGGATCGGGCATTCGAGAACCTTCTGAAGCAGGAACTCTACCCTGACTGAGGCCCTCAGACTTTAACTTGCAGAGAATGTGGCAGGAACAGTTGGCCTGGAATTTGCCCGAGGATCCTGCTGACGGTCCCTGCGGACACAGGTGCCCGCACCACCGCCAGCCCCCAAGTACCGAGAGCGGGTGGCGCCTCACCGAACAGCCACTGCACGAACGAGAAGGCCTGGGAACCTTCACTCACTTATCTTAATGATTTGCAGACTGAGAGCAAAGGTTCACTTCTACAAACAGCGATTTTAAAGTGAGAAGGCGCTCAGCAATCCTTGCCCTGGACTTCGAACCCTGGTTAAATGATGTCTGTTCAGATCTGCAGACGAACAGGGGCAGAGAAACATTATTTTAGTACGTTGTTTTAAACTTTTCCGCATTGAGTAAACACCGGAATGTCCTATTTTGTTTCTTCTGTTCACATACTGCCTAAATGGCGCGTCTGTACAAGGAGATGGTGTAGGCTGACTTTCGATGTATTTGGATCGATAATACACATTGTCTTCTGATCCTGTTCCGTTTAAAGCATTTATAACCTACCGAGTGACGTTATTTCATCCGTTCTTATTTCTCAGACGCTGATGGAGTTATGCCATTCAGCTATACGATTAAAATACACACGAGTGGGAAAATATTGATAAATAACTAAATGCCGTTATCATTTGTGATCTCGTATTTCGGCTTGGATCAGAACATGCACTTCAAATGAGGATTGCGTTTCCACGGAAAAAAACTGGGGCAAGTTATTTGAAGCAGAGGAGCCGACAGACGTTCGCATCGCTGGCTCCGTTTGTGCAACACGCTGGCAGATCCCATACGGAGAAACTGTCCGCCGCGGCGGTCCGCGGTCACTCAGAAACACGGCCACGTTCCACTCGGAAGGCAGAGCGCATCGCACTGATGACATAGCCGACGATAAGCCGGAAGAATGGAAAGTGGGAAGAAATGAAGACAAACATCGAGAGAGGAAGGAAAACGTTGGGAGGGAAAGAAGAGGCATAAAGAGGGGGAGGAAAGGAGATCGAACTCACTGCACTATTCGAATCTCAGGAGTTCTTCCGGGTAGAGGTTTTTATATTGATTCACAATAGTGTTTTGAGGGAAATGGCCACTTTATACAAACCACAGCTGGTCAAACAATCTGCCCAGTGCATCAAAGGTGAGACTTACGATTCGATGAAGAGAAAGTTGGTAAATGGAGAGGCGAAATGAATGGCAAACTAGCACATGCGCTTTTCGATTTGGAACTTGGCCTTGACCTTTTCCACCGCACTGAAGAATGGGACCATGTCTGGTTTGGCATCAGCGTCCCAGCCCTCTAGGTCTGGCACAAGGACGGCAGGTCCAGCCTCATTTCACGATGTCGGTTAGGACCTCATGCAAATCAAGTTACAGGAAATATGAGCGGCTTTTAAAAAATATGGTCATGATTTTTTCTTGCACCAGAGTAAACGGCTTCTTCCTCAGTTCAGTGGCTTACGGCCACCAGGTCCCTAATGGTCACAGAACGGCTGCCAGAGCTCGGGCAGAGCAC